AATCCGTACTCAGAAAGACAAATACCCTGTGTTTTCTCTGAAGGGCAGAATCTGGATTTAAGCATGAATGTGCATTAAAGTAAAAACGGTGAGCCTGTAGGAGGAGAATGACATTTAAGACGATGGGAGAAGAGAGAGCAAGAGAAGGTGTGGGGAAAACAAGGAACATAGCAAATGTCTTCTCATACGCAGGGTCTACATTCAACTCACAGAGACCCGCCTGCCTCTGCCTCCTGAGTGCTGGGATTAAAGGCGAGCGCCACAACTAGCTGGCTCAGGTATGGTTTTTAATAGAGTCAGAAAAGTGTAGCTTTTTCCTTTTTATTGTTTTCCGTCTCTTGCTTTAGGATTTTGGACCGAGAATACATATACTTTCCCTGGCACTTTGGGCTTTTCCCTCTGTTTCTCAGAAGAGACAGACAGACAGACAGACAGACAGACAGACAGACAGACAGACAGACAGAGCGAGCAGGGAGAGAGTGAGAAAGAGTGAGAGAGTGAGAGGGGCAGAGAGAGACAGAGACAGAGACAGAGACAGAGACAGAGACAGAGACAGAGCAGGGCTATTAACTCTTTACTGGTGAGGAGGTTTGGAAGTGCAAATGGAAATTCTTCTATATCTCACAACTGTACCACATGTTACAGGTACAGAATTTCTGGGTCACCCTTTTTGGGTTTTCCAGCTTATTAATAAAATAATTTGCTAGAAGGGAGATGGAGAAGAGGAAATGTATCTGTTTGAAGGCAGCCACATTATGGATGATGGAGGGTGGCTTCTGAGAAACAGAGGGAAAAGCCCAAAGTGCCAGGGAAAGTAGGGAATGTATTCTCAGCCCAAAATCCTAAAGCAAGAGACGGAAAACAATAAAAAGGAAAAGCTACACTTTCTGAGACCAGACTCAAAAACGCAGCCAGATAACTGAACTTCATGGAGGCCCACTCTATAAAAACCACACCAGAGCCAGCTGGTGGTAGAGCACACCTTTAATCCCAGCACTCAGGAGGCAGAGGCAAGTGGATCTCAGTAAGTTCAAGGCCAGCTTGGTCTACAGAGTGAGTTTCAGGACATCCAGGACAATCTCACAGAGAAACCCTGTCTGGAAAAGCAAACAAACAAGAAGACCCCACCAGAGGTAGGAGAAAGGCATGTTATCTCAATAAAGCAATAATTATTCTCCCCTCCTCTCTGCCATCCCTTCAAGTGAGTCAGCCTTTCTCAGGTTTTGTCTCTGAGCCTGGTGATTGACCAGTCCAACTGGATTAATCTCATGTTTTGGGTATCCTGGAATGCTGGGTCTCCACCCAGGCCATTAAATTATATTCCCCTTGAGACTATGCAGAGCACCAACAAAGATTTCCCTGCAGTCAGACTTTCTTTGGACCACCAGCTCCTGAATAATGACACAGAGACTTTTTATTGAGTAGTAAAGCTTGGCCTTAGCTTCCACTTGTTCCTAACTAGCTCTTAAAACTTAAATTAACTGGTTTATATTGATCTACACTTTGCCACATGGCTTGTTACCTCTCCTAGGGATGGTACATCTGACTTCCTCAGAGTCTCACTGACTGGCGAGTCCCTCTAGCAAGATCCCCGCCCCCAGTTCCTCTCTCGCCCTGGAAGTCCTGCCTATCCTCTCCTGCCTGGCTATTGGCCTTTCTGCTCTTTATTAAACTAATCAGTAGGAGCTTTAGATAGGCAAGGAAGGACAGAGACACATCTTCACACAGTGTGATCAAATATCCAGGACCTGCCCCACTCTGGAAAGGTTACCCTAAACCCATTTAAGACATGAGTTGCAGTTGAGGAATAAATATATAATCCATTTTTACCATTAAAATCAAGGCATCTGACTCTAAATCTTCACCAGAAGGGAACAATGCCTGGACCGGAGTTTCAGTTCAACCCTCAGATATAGCTTTCAGGCTGGGTGCTGGTTTACAAGTAGATAATTCCTTTTGTAGGTGGAATGACCCTTTCACAGAGGTTACCTAAGAACATCAGAAAACACAGATATTTACATAGCGATTCATAACAGTAGAAACATTACAGTTACAAAGTAGCAAGGAAAATAGCTTAATGGTTTCTGTCACCACAAAATGAGGAACTGTATTAAAGAGTCACAGCATTAGGAGCAGTGAGAACCACGGGCTTAGACATTCCTGGCCAGAAAACCAAGAATTTATCTGGGACTGCTTATAAACTGCCTAGTCAATCCCTATGTCCTGTTCTCATCAGATGGACACTGAAGAGGAGTGGGCAGGGTAAATATAACTAGGATACAATGATATAAATGACGGAAAATGTTGTAACTAAATCCCTGATAACTAAGGAGGTTGAACATTTCCTTAAGTGTCTTTCTGCCATCTTTTTTTTTTTTTTTTTTTTTTTGGTTTTTCGAGACAGGGTTTCTCTGTGGCTTTGGAGGCTGTCCTGGAACTAACCCTTGTAGACCAGGCTAGCCTCAAACTCACAGACATCCACCTGCCTCTGCCTCCCGAGTGCTGGAATTAAAGGCGTGCGCCACCACCACCCGGCTCTTTCTGCCATTTGAGATTGTTCTGTTGAGAATCCTCTGTTTATATCTGTACTTGTTTTTAATTGAATTATTTGGTAGTTTGATGTCTAGTTTCTTGAGCTCTTTGTATATTTTGGAGATCAGTCCTCTGTCAGATGTGGGGTTGGTGAACATCTTTTCCCATTCTGCTGGAAGTAATTTTGTCCTGCTGACGACGTTGTTTGTTTTACAGAAGCTTCTCAGTTTCAGGAGGTCCCATTTATTAATTGTTGCTGTCAGTGTCTGTGCTGCTGGTGTTTTATTTAGGAAGTGGTCTCCTGTGCCCACGTGTTCAAATGTATTTCCCACTTTCTCTTCTATGAGGTTCAGAGTGGATGGATTAATACTGAGGTCTTTGATCCAGTTTTGTCATGAGATTATAATATTCTGGAAGCATCTTCAGGCCCCATCTCTATTATAATTCTCTTAGGGCTTCTGTCCCATGCATTTCCTCTTCCACTAATGTCTCAAGATAGCAACTGCTCTCCCCCAAAGTCTGGAACCAATTCCTTTTAAATTCCTGTTCATGTTGATATTTTTGACATTTCCCCATAAATCACAATTGACCTTAATATCAACCAGAATGGTGAAGCCTTTCTAAATGTTTTTCAATATTGCATAAGAAAAAATATACTACCTAGTGGCAACTACAGCACTATGAAATCTATCCCCTGAATAATGAGACCTGAAACTCAAAATTATCCCTTGACCTGTGGGTTACAGTACAGATAATGCATTAGGAGGCATCTTGTTCATTTCCAAGAGAGTGCCTGGGTATTTAAGCGTAAAGTGTTTTTTTTTCTTCCCTGTCACTGCTAAGAGCTTAGAATAGTCAGTAAATCACACAGCAAACCAATTGCCAACATCCAGACTTTGTTGCTCCATTCTTAGGGCACAGGCCAGGTAGATTTAGCTCCCTTCCTAATAAGCGGGTATTGACTTCACTAAAATCCTCAGCAGCATTAGCTCTCACAAGAAAGCCAGCCTCTTCTCTAGACTTTTGAAGTTAGGTGTTGACTGTAACAGTCCTAGATGGCATCTTCTTCCAAGACAAGATATCCTGCTCTCCACTGAAAACCTCTTGTGTGGCATAGTGACACTGGTTTATCTTTGCAAGGCTGCCCGGGTAACTTACTGACGCTTTGGCTTCAGCACCTGCTGCTTTGTGCTGTATGTTGTCATGGAGACTGTGTCTTAATTTTTTGCACCAACCAGTTAATAGCTGGTGTCAGCTCAGTGCCACCCCAGGAGGCCTGCCTTAAACTCAGACTAGAGCGGACCCTAGCACTTCCTTATCGTCAAGTTCTGGTCTTGTGTTCATTGCTGCACTAGTGCCTGGAGAGAGCCCCACTGCCTAAGAGAGGTTACACACACACACACACACACACACACACACACACACACACACACACAGACACACACACACACACACAAGTACACACACTTCTCAGCCACTGAAGAGGTTCAATGCTGGCAAATTCACATTGTACACTAGTGGCTGCTTTCTTTTCTCTGAGTCTGTATCCGTTGTCAGGAGTCTGTCCTCTAAGTCATCGCCCTGATGATTCCTATAGCTGATGAGGTGGGTGGGACAAGTATTGATCTAGAATATGACTAACAGCCTGCTTTCGCACTAAAGTCTCCTGCAGGACATTTTCTAAGAAATCGACTCCTGGGCCAAGCTTTATTTTAGCTTCTCCAGTGTGTGGTTTTGTTTAAAGCTGTCTTTCTTGGCCATTGCAATGAGCCAGCAAGTCACAAAGGTAACAGTCCTACAGGGCACTTAGTACACATCACACACACACACACACACACACACACACACACACACACACACACACACGGTTTAGATGCCTTTGTCCGGGCCCATGATCCCAGCTACAAGGGAGGTTGAGTCAGGAGGATCACTTGTGTAAAGCCCACTTGTGCTCTGGAGTTGAGTGTAAGCCAGTCTAAGCAACCTTGTGAGAGGTGTCCCAAAAATTAAAAAGGAAAAAAGAGGGAGGAGAGTACAACTTGGTAGAGCAATTGCCTAGCAAGGAAGAACAAATTGGGGTAACTTGGTCGTTTCTCGCAGCCGCGTGAAATGCCTCTGTTTTTGTCTTATCCACAAACCTCACAAATAAGGATGTGATGTTTCAGAGTAGGTGACCAGCTGCTGCCAGCCGGACTCTTGTTGAAGAGCACAGAACCTGTCTGATTAACTTGCTGATTGACAGGGAGCCTGATGACTCCTTGGTCACCTGACCGAGCTCCAGCCCTCCACTGGGAGGGTGTCCCGAGCCTCTGCCTGGGAGGGGACTCTGGTCTCCCTTCAGTCGCCGGCAGGAAGTCAGCACTCGTCCTAGGACCGGGCGGCCGCGCAGTGAGTACCCACCGGGTCACCTGGGTCTGCGGACTACCCCGGAGCTGGCTCCTTGGGAAAACTCTCCGAGCAAGTAAGTGCCTGCACTGGTGACGTCAGCTCAAGGCGGCCGAAGCTGCCCCCAGATTGGAGGACATTAAAGGAAACCAGAAATGAAATCTTTGAACTGGAGCAGGCAGTATTGATCTGAGCACGCTCATACTATCTTAAAGGGAGGGGAAGGGCTGCTCGAAACTTTGAGTGGAAAAAGCAGCAGACACACCAGTAAAGAAGAGAAAGAATTAACGTGGGGAAGTAAAATAATCAGTGGTCACTTAACAAGTAAACCTTAAAAGATACTTGGACCTGAGACTTGTCAACCAATGAATGCTGAAACCCGGAAAATGCTCAGCTATCGAGATGGCTGCTGCCTGGTTGACATCCTGCCTAAGGTAAACGCGGAAGGGCAGGTCAGGTGCTACCGGACCCATGTGATGTTTATGGCTCTATTGTCCCGCTAAAACCTGAAAAACATTTGAATGAACGTGGGGAATAAATCACAATTTTGAAGCCTGTGTTGTGGAATGAGTTTAAAGTCCATCAAGAAAAGCCTGTGAGGCTGTCTCAAATAACAATTAAAAATAAAAAAAAGTAAAACTAAGGACTGAGGCTATAGCTGAGCAGAGAGAGCACTTGCCTAGTATGGGAGGAGAGAGTGAGAGAATGAAAATCAACTATTGTATGCCTAACACGCTATGGATCTAACTTAGGGAATGAATGAATGAACAAACAAATAAATAAATAACATCAGGGCAGAGTCTCACTAGCACAGTCCTGACTGGCCTGGAACTAGCTGTGTAAACCCGGCAGGCGCTGAACTCAGAGATCAGCCTGCTTCTGCCTCCTGAGTGCCGGGATATAGTCTGCTACCAATAAGACTTTTAAGGGAGTAGTTTATGTTAAAAGGGACTGGGAATAAAGGCTTGGCTGAGTAACCGTTCTTCTTTTTAGCACAGAAATGTCACTGATTTAGAAAGAGGTGGAGCCTTCATGGTGGTTGCCTGAGATTGTCAGTACACACAGAATTAGATCACACGGTTTTTGAAATGGGCGATTGCTGTGTGCTGGAACCCAGCATCATTTACCGAGGGCCATAACTGAAGTTGACTCAGCAGTCAGATGGGGTCATGTGCTCTGATTAGCACTACCAACTACTCTTTCAATGCAGGCTGATACCTGGGGCTGCCCATCAACATCCCTTAGTGGAGCCCTTCTTTCCTGCAAAATAATCTGTCTGGTTTAACGGTTAGGCGCTGTCCTCTCTCCGGTGTACTTGCTTTGCTTGTTTTAATTAAAATAGAAACAATTATTTCTTAGCTCCTAACCCTGTATTCTCAGTCCCATGGCAGCTTTCCAAATAGCTCCTGCCTTGTGTTTAACAGCCCTGATGTCTATCTCTCTATCTCTTTATCCCTCTGTCTATCTCTCTATCCCTCTCTCTATCTCTCTATCCCTCTATCTCTCTATCTATCCGTCTATTCTAGGTGGGATTTTCTCGTAGTCAGGCAGTCCAGCTGACCATGAGCAGAGTGGTCGGTCTTTCCTCTGCTTCCCGAGTGCTGGAACTGCGGGCATGTGCCACTTACTTGTGTTTCCCAAGACCACATCCCTCTTGCCTCTTAACCCCTGAGTAGTAAGTAGCCCTGGTAGGCGGCTTTCCTCATAAGCTTTCTCTGAACCTACAGGCACTATAGTAGTAGTAAATAGTGTCACTGTGTCACTTTTTAAATAGGCCTCAGTGTCTTTAGCTGCATCTCAATATGCACCATATGTTTTTAAAGAATATATATGGACATATATATTCTTAAATAAATATATACATATTTATATATATTTCAAATAGGCATTTTCCTTTCTAAAGCTTATTGTGCTTTAGAAAGCACACACATACACACACGCACACATATATATTTCAAATAGGCATTATATATATATTTCAAATAGGCATTTTCCTTTCTAAAGCTTATTGTGCTTTGGAGTAGTTTGTGTTTCCTGCTAAATCTTCCATAATAATGTCAAGACATTCTGTATTCCCTAAAAAAAATCACATAAAGAACAATGCATGAACTTTGAATATTTTTCCCTTAAAATTGTAAGGAAGGGTGGCTTTGGAGGCGCCTTCCTCAACAGAAATCCACAGTGTGTTGTCACTCTATTAAATTGGGAGGAAAAAAAACCTTATATGGTTCTGAATTCTGTTTCAGACAGGTTATTTCAAAGGGTCAGTACGTAAAGTATAACCCTGAAATGGCATTGTGCAATCACGTGATGAAGTGCCTGGTGCGGTTTCTTGGGCAGCTTCCACAGCTGACAAAGTAACTAGTGTTCAGCAGGCTTTTCCAAACGCTGTCCCGGAAAAGTATCCAACTTTTGGTTATTGGCGGGTTTGATCCTTTTCTTCTTGTGTGTATGTATGTGTATGCATATGGTTTATGTGTGTGCATGTGATGTATGTGTGTGTGGTGTGTGTGTGTGTGTGATATATGTATGTGTGTGCGTGTGGTATGTGTGTGTGTGTAGTGTATGTGTGTGGGCATGCATGCCCATGAGTGCATGGACAGAGGTCAGAAGGAGACATGAGTGCCTCCCTTTATGCTTTCTATTTTATTGTTACTGTTTAATTGAGAAAATTAAAAAAAAACTTTAAGACTATCAAATGCTCCACGAATTTGTCATCCTTGTGCAGGGGCCAGGCTAATTTTCCCTGTATCTTTTTTAAAACTTATTTCTATTTTATGTGAATTGGTGTTTTGCCAGAATGTATGTTTGTGTGAGAGTGTCAGGTCCCCTGGAACTGGAGTCACAGGCAGTTATGAGCTACTGTGTGGGTGCTGGGAATGTGGGTGCTGGGAATTGATCCTGGGTCCTCCGGATGGGCAGTCAGTGCTCTTAACCGCTGTGCCAGCCCTCTCCCTGTGTCTTCTTTAACTTTCATTTAAAAAGCAATATTTTTTAAGAGATTTGACACATCACCAGTTAAAATAAAATCCAAGCCGGAAGTGTGTCCATCATGCCAGTCTACAGGAGAATAATTGTTATAATGTAGAAAATCTTGGATCCAGACCTTGTAAAAAGTTAGATTTTCAAATTCTAAGAGAAAAAAAAACTTGGTTTATCTTACTATAAGTTAGTGATAAAAAATATTGGTAGAACAAATGAAAAACACAAATTGTGAGTATCATGCGTAAGTGATAGTTTTTTTGCGTAACGACCTGACTATCTACAAAAGGGAGCCTTAGCCTGCTTTTCCTCACTAGACTTCATGTTCTGATCACAACTGGCTCACAGGCTCCACAGCTTCTGACCTTCATTCTATTTCCTTTGTTTCAGAAACTCTTGAAGAGCACAGGCCGAACGTGAGACAGTTCTCTGTCCGCCACCCCTGCAACCATGAGCGGTAACGGAACAGACATGAGTAGTAACGGAACAGACTTCACCATCGGCTACCTCTCCTCTGCTGTAGCAATTCTCTTGTTTGGCTCCAACTTTGTACCACTTAAAAAATACGACACGGGTGATGGTAATTGTTTTTTTCTTTTTTTTTAAACCTAAACTTGTTTTTAAGTATCTCAGGTACTTGTTCATTTTTGTTTTAGCTTCTAAAAATGCCAGCTTAAAAAAAACAAAAACAAATTTTATTGATCTAGTCAGTAGCACTCACATAAATCATCCCACAGTGTCCATCGTGGAGTGAGTCAGGACAGGGAGGCCAGGTTGTGCCTCACGAAAAAGCAGGGTGGGTACCACTGGAAAGCCTTCTTGGTTGTGACGGCTGTGTTTATAAAACGGGTACGATAGTGCCAGTTCCCCTGTCGGCACCCTTTCAAAAACCAAGTTTCAACACCGTTGACACATGAGAGGCCAGGCTGAACATAACACACGCATGTTCACTGGTGAACAAGTTCTTCTCTGACAAACCATGCTGCGAATGCAGACAGCTGCTCGCCGTTAAAGAGAGATGTGTGGCAGTGCCAAAACCTACACACTCCTCCGCACAAAGCTGTGCGCCAGGCTTCCTCAGTTTACCGCATGTGCACACACAGACACACATCCTTTGCCGCAGAACTGTGGCAAAGACCACAGGCTTGCTCAGCTCCCCACACATGATCCCCACGTGTGCGCATGTGTCGTGCATCACCCCCCACACCTGATGTCAGACCTCCATTCCAGCAGCCCTACTGTGATCCACGGGTTTCATTCCTTGCTCCCTTCACACGAACCTCCGGTCCTTTTTAAATGAAAGGGTTGTGTTTAGTGTATTGCTACTGTGCTTAACCAATTAGGTAGTTAAAACTGGTAGCTGTGTTTATTAATCACTGTTTTTAAATACATTGCTGGTGTAGTTTTTCGGTGTCATTCTCCAAACCAGATTTGGTTGTTTTGAGATTTTCAGTGCATGGCTTTGCACAGCACTGTAATTTTTAGAAATGCATATGTCACGGTGTAGCAAAAACAGTGCAAGCTGATCTCTAGAGAAGGAAAGCAAGAGTTGCTTTTGCCAACCTGACCTCCTTTTACTCAGTGAACACCTGCTAGAGGTAACAGTTACTTTTGTTTGCTGTTTGCTTGTTTGAGTTTTGGAGACAGGTTTTCTCTGGGTAGTCTTGGCTGTCCTGGAACTCTCTTTGTTCAGGCTGGCCCCAAACTCACAGATATGCCTGCCTCTTGCCTCCCGAGTGCTGGGAATAAAGGTATGTACCACCACGCCCAGCCCAGTTATTTTTAAATCTCACTAGTTCCTTGGTCTTCATACTATTTAGACAACAGGATTACAAATCTTTCCTCCTTGCCTGGACTTTGATAGGAACTAGTCCAAAAATAACCAGAAGAGGCAACTGAACTAGCTTTGGGGTTTGCGATCCTGGACAAGTGTCCCATGTGTTTCTGAAAACTGAACCCATGGCCTCTCTCTGCACATAATGGAGTGTTCTGTTCTGAGCCACCCCAGCCCTTCAAGTCTCCCTAGCTTTTTGGTTCCAGCTTCTCACTTGTAGCGTAAAGTTCCTTTCCCTTTCCGATACTGTTTTGTTGTAGACATTTTTTCACTCTGCTTTGTTGTTAGAATGAACAGAAATAAACAAAAGTCTTCCAAGTTAGAACCAAAAGTGCCACACAGCATTGCAGCTTCTCTGATACTTCATTCAGGGTGGGATATCTATCTTTTAATCCCTAAGTCTTGATGGTACAGGAGCCTTGGATGGCCACTGCCACGTTCATCTTTAGGTGAGTGGCCAGCAGCATCTTATATCATAAGATGCAGAGGAGCACAGGCCTGGAAGGTTAAATCTCGGGCTTGTAAAAAACTGTCTCATCACAGGAAATAAACTCCACTGCACGAGTCACAAGCGGCTACTTGTCTCCCAAGATTTCAATTACTGTGTGGAAGCTTCCGCCTTCTCAAAATTCTTTGACAGAAATGTCTGGATTTGTCTACAGGTGACAGAACAGGATGTTAAATAGGACCTTGGTGTCAAGCATCTAAAGTTGATGGTCCAGTTAGAAATATACCTAAACAGCTTTTGGACTAAGTTACTTAAGTTCAAATTTGCTTTCTTGGTATCTGAGATTGGGTCAGTCATGACACTGAGTAGTTGTAAGAATAAATGTGCCCCATGCCCACTGTGGAGACATTCATATTTGTGTCTGATCTTCTAAGAATATCTTACGGATATCCATAAGCATGCATACACTCGAAACATTCCGCCAAGTGACGCCAGGTTGTCTTATTTCCAGGGATGTTCCTTCAGTGGGTGCTCTGTGCTGCCATTTGGTTGGTCGCCTTGGTGGTCAACTTGATTCTACGCTGCCCTAAATTCTGGCCTTTGGCGATGCTTGGTGGCTTCATCTGGGCAACAGGTAATGTGTATAGTCACCTAAGAGAGTGGTCGCACAGTCGTATTCACAACCAGGAGAAGAGGCACAGCAGTCACAGTCATTAGATGCAGACAGCAGACATGAGCTGTGTACTGGTTTCCTATCAGCTATTCCTGGAAATTTCCTGATTTTTCCCCCTTTAAATGTTGTGAGTTCCTGGTAGAAAACTAGTAAACGTAGCCTTTTAAAGCATAACTCAGATGCCATTTTATACATTTGATCTTTCCCCAGGATGTTTAATTAGAACATATTTATTAAAGAATAATCCTTTGTTAACACGATTTTTAGACTTAATCCTTAAAAGCTGGAAAATAGAGGCATAAAATCACTTTGAGTAACATTTGACAAAGAAAACAGACAATAAAAAGTCCTTTTGTTGCTTTATCAATTCCTTAATTCTATAGTAGAATTTGTATTTCCAGTTAGCCAATCAGAAACAGTTCTTTACGCTACATGAACTCACCCTGGAAAGCTCTTTTTTTTTATTTTAACAAAGGAAATTACTAAAAATCTTTAAGATATAAATTTATTAGAAGTAAATAAGATTGAAAATGTTTACCCACTTGAATCTTCAAGGGACTTAGGGTTTTTATTGCTGTGAAGAGACACCATGACCCCAGCAACTCGTATAAGGAAAACATTTAATGGGGTGGTAGTTTACAGTTTCAGAGGTTCAGTTCATTATCATCATGGTAGAGAGAATGGCGGTGTGCAGGCAGATGTAGCTGAGAGTCCTACATCTGGCAGGCATCAGGAAGTCGACTGAGACACTAGGAGGTATCCTGAACATAGGGAACCTCAGATCCCGCCCCCACAGTGACACACTTCCTCCAACAAGGCCGTACCCACACCAACAAGGCCACACGTCCTAATAGTGCCGCTCCCCATGAGATTATGGGGGCCAATTACATTTAAACTACCACAGGAACTAAATGATTTAATAAGATGTATTAATCTGAGATCAAAGTAAGTATAACTTTACATTTCCACTAGAATTTACATTACCATACCTCACATGTGCCTTTTTGATTGTTGACACTGTGAAATTGGGAGAGTGAATGGTGTTCACTCCTTCCTTGTAGGCTTTTGGAGGCAGAGGCGCCCTATGCAGCCCAGGCTAGCCTAGAGCTCTGAGCCTCCTGCCTCCACTCCCAATGGAATTGCAGATGAGACACATCTCACTTTTGTCAACCTGCAGATTTTTCGGGTCAAAACTGGTATGAAATACGGAATGCTTCGTGAGTTTGTATGTGTCCTTGTGCAAGGTGCATATCTGTATCACTCCAGTTTTAGTATGTGCACTGCCTATGTGAGGATTTTTTTTAATTTTTGAAATTCAATTTTAATTAAATAATTTGAAAATACATTTGTTTATATTTTTGAGAAGAGGTATCATTATGTAGTGTTGGCTGACCTGGAGTTATCTGCCGCATCAGCTGCGCGGCCTGTGTCCGAGAACGTGCGGAGGGTGTCGGGGATTGACAACACAGAGACTCGTTCAACAATGTAAAGAAAACTTTAAACAGGCCCCAAAAAGGTTCAAGAAAACTTCCTAAGAAAGGCTCCCTCCAGAGAAGCTTCTGCTCTCTCCTCTACCCTGGCTGGTTCTGCTCTGACACCAAAAACTGATCTGGGCATGTCAGAAGAGGCGGTTAGTCTTTGGACAAGGTCGAGGTCAGGGTGGTTCCGTGGGCAGGCCTTTTCCAGGAACTTATTGCCCCGGGCATTGTATTGTTTTTAGTAAACATGTTTTTAGTAAACATTGTCTTACAGCTGCCTACTCCCAGGCAGAAGGGGAAGTGGGTCTCTGCTCAAGGTCTGGTGTTCCCACAGTTATCTATGTAGATCAGGCTAGCCTCCAACTCTCAGAGGTCCTGGGATTAAAGGCATGTGCCACCACCCTGGTCCATTGCACAGATCTTTACAGACATGATAACATTTGTCTCTCAGGCAGGTTCCACTGTGCTCAAGGTGAAGAAGTAGGCAGCCAAACTTGAGAAATGTCACCATGTTACAGGTTGGGCACAGGGGAAAGAGAAGAGGGAGGTGTAAGGACTTCACTGCAAGTGGCTAGAAAGGAGACACCAACACCTTGACCAGGAGAACGTCTCAAAGGGAAAATAAGTGGAGCAGGGTACCATGTGAGTCTATGGGTGTCCCACAGTGGAGGACACCTACTTGCAGAATTTCTTCTGCAGTTCATAGCACAACTCTGAAACTCAAGTTGCTCTAGACTGGAGCTGTGTTACAGAGACACGGGCCCCTGGTCAACAGGGGAAATCAAGAGACAAAGGAGGCTCACAAATCTAGAGAAGAAACCTGTAGGTGACTGCAGGGCTGAGTCAGGTGGCAGAGAAGGTCGTCTGATTTACGAAGAGCAGCAAGGAGATGGGTAGCATAGAACAGCCACAGTCCCGGCTGCTGGGGAGGTCGGGATAAGATCTCTTGAGCAAGAGTGGGAGCTAGCCTGAGCAACATGGCAAGACCTTGTCGCTATAACAACCATGCTAGTGACAACATCCAACACAATAATGAATTTGGCCCTGAGTGACCCTCAAGAGCATAAGGCAATGACTGTGAGAATCTGGAAAAACAGCCACTAAGTGCAGAGCGCATTCTAAAGTCGAGTTGGGGCAGAAGTTTAAGTTAGAAAACACTAATTTAACTTAGAAATGCATCCGTTGAACTGAAAGTAACCCTTTTTTCCTGCGTATTGCATCTACAGGGAACGTTGCTGTCGTCCCAATTATCAAAACCATCGGTTTAGGTCTTGGGATCCTCATCTGGGGATCATTTAATACCTTAACTGGCTGGGCAAGTTCAAGGTAACACAATTCAAATGATCTCAGCTAAGATTCCTGCACCCTGAATTCAATGTAAACTGGGGTTTTGCCCTATCGGGAGAAATAACACGATCCTTAGTCTCAGATGATGGCTGGAACACGTAGCCATGTCTACTATGTCTGAAGCTCTTTGTAAGTAACCAAGACATAGCAAAGGAAATCAAAACAAAAAATGAAGATCTGTATCTGGGACACAAGTAGGGAGAGAGAAAGGCGGCAGAAGTCTCCCCGCCCTCTCTACTGCGTGATGGTTTGATAGACATGTTAGTGTGCATCCTCCCCACGTCATTCTTAGTTACATGAGGAGAGCACTAGAAGAGAGCTGACGCTCGAAGAGGCTGAAATGCTGAAGGTCGGGTTCCAGCCAGGTACCAGTTCTAAAGCAGATGCTTTTCCTGAGAACAGAGCGTCAGTCTGTGGCTCCGTCTCCCGAGCATTTGGTAAAGGTTTCCGGAGATGTAGCCGTACGCAAGCATTTAAGTAACATTGTCTGTGGCTGCTTTTACAGTATAGCAGCTGAAAGAAGGGAGACCCACACCATAACACTAGGGCTAGCTAGAAAGTTGTGCAGTCCAAAAGGCCTGTCACACGCCTCAGGTGGCCTTTGTATGGAAACTTAAGCTAATTAAAATGACAGATTTGAACCTCCTGTGTCCCGGTGGTACTTGCTGAATTTGCTGTGGCTTTCCCATTTCACACATGGCCTGGATGGGAACACGATACTATCATGGAAGTTCCATGAACAATGTGTGATGCCTAGGGTTAGAATCACCTGTGCTTCTCACATGTGGGGATGAGAACAGAGAGCATTGTCCTTGCCTCACTTCTTCTGCTTGCCTGGCTCCCTTACCCTTGGATAGCTGTTCACGATGAATGATTATGACAAAGCCAGACCGTGATGAATAAAAAGAATGTAAACTGATGTCAGAGAATAGGAATTTTTAATCGAGAAGTCATTTTAAATACCTCAAGTATTATAGAAGGGCTTGAAATGTAGCTTAGTGTTAGAGCATCGTCTAAACTTGCAGGGCCCTTGGGTTTGACCCCCAGCATTAAGATACATGTGTATTCACATGCACATACACGCACACACACTCATGCACACATGCAATCACACACATACACACAAACTCATGCACACACGCAATCACACACATTTCCCCATGGTAGTTTATCTGTTTGGTTTGTTGGTTTTAGGTTATTTGGTTTTTGTTGTTGTTTCTGTTTTGTTTTGTTTGTTTAATAGGATCTCACTATGTAGCCCTGGATTGTCTGGAAATCAATATGTAGACCAGGATGGCCTCAGACTCACAGTGATCCACCTGCTTCTGCCTCCTAAGTGCTGTAGCCCAGACTGGCCCTGAGTTCTTCTTATCTTACCTCTGGGGATTGCAGGAATGTACCACCATGCCTCAGCTACTATTTATCCACTTTAATGTGGAAATTGGAGGCACATGGTAGAAAAGTAAGTAACTTATCCAAAGCTGTACAGTGCATGCAAGAGCCAAGACTTCTTCGCTCGGCAGCCCCCAGCCTGGTCTCTTTAGCAATGCCCTAAAGCACTTTAGCAGTATCTAATGTGATGTTCTTCTGGGTTCCCAGGTTTGGCTGGTTTGGCATGGATGTGAAGGAAGTGGCAAACCCCATGCTGAATTACTTTGGAGCCGGGCTGTCAGTAGTAAGGTCTGCAACCACCACTTCCGGCCATTCACAGAGCTCTCTGAAGACTGGCTTTGTATTTATTTTATTTATGTGTATGAATGCTCTACCTGCATGTATGTGCCTCGTGTGTGTGTCTGGTGCCTAAGGAAAGCAGAAAGAAAGTGTCACATTCCTGGAAACTGCAGTCACAGATGATTGTAAGCTGCCATGGGGGTGCTGGGAATTGAACCTGCATCCTCTGGAAGAGCAGCCATCTCTCCAGCCCTGTTCTCTAAAGCTTTTGATGTCCTTGCATTTTTTAAGCTTACATTTTGTAAATTTTATGTAAGTTTCCTGGTTCTTAATTTTCAAAGACAGGCCTTATTTCCAGAAGAAGAAATGCCAAATGAGGTGGGGATCAAGAACTCCAGTTTTTGGCTTCTAAACACTCTGAGAAACTGGAAAATGTCACCTAACCACTCTGAAGTTCGATTTCAGTGTCTATGCTAGATAGAGAATCATAGTACATTGCTCTTGAAGGAGAGCCAGGCTGTATTAGGTTAGTTTGCTCACAGAAGCACGCTATCCAATCAGCATTCTGCAGGTTCCCTGTATGCCCCTGGCGTGGTCGCTGATTCTGTTTAGTACAGTACTCCTCATCCAAGGAGGATGCCTGAAAAACAGGGCGTATCAAACGTTGCAGCTTCATGCTCTATCCATCTTAACTAAGCACCAAGGCTATACCTTTATAGTCTCAACGCTGTAAAAAGCTAGCAGAAATACCTTTTCCTTACAACTTCATGTGTTAGCTTTGTTACTATGGATCTTAGCACTGTTAGTGCAGGGTTTTTTTTTTTTCTCCTTTTCTCTAAAAGCTGAGAACGTTCACCTTTTCACTGAAACAGAACACCTAATGGGTCCTCTTTGGCATATCGGATCTGCCAGGCTGGCTCACCACTCTTGTGATTTGTGCTCAGGTTAGCTGAATCCAGCGCTGCAAATCACTATAGTGGATCTGACCAAGGGGACTGCAAGTGACTAAGTACTGGGGAGTTCTCTGGGGCGGTTAACTTGGCAAAGAGGCTCTAATGCATGGCCCTGGCCTCAGACAAGGAGACAGCTTCATGCAATGCAGGGCAGTGCGCAGGTTAAAGTGTAGGAGTGTGTGTACCTTGAGTTTAGCATGCCAGATCATGGCTGACCACAGGTAGGCAGAACTGTGCAGACCCCTGATTCCAGCTTCAACTGCCCTGTTCTCCCATTCATTCTTTTTCAACTGAGTTAGCACATTCTCACCTCACACGTTCTCTTTTGCATACCTAGTTTTCCACGTCTCTCCCTCTACCTGTACCTACTATATCAGTGGGGATGGAAATGACTTTGACTTTCTACACAGTGGCGTGTAAGAATTAGGTCACCTTAAATCCAGTCACCTATTCTCTCTGGGTTCCATTTATATCCACTGTCAGTGCAGCGCATAACAAATAGCATTGCCAAAAAGATTTTTAGTAATTTTTTAGTCTTCAGGGAAAGAACAATGTATTTTCCTTCCTCCAGTTACGGTGCTTTTCCCCAGACACATTCTGGAACAATCTCTTTGTCATTGAAATTTTGCCTTAGAGAGTAGTCCCTAGGCAATTGGGAGCGAATAGCAAAGCTTATTCTAAAACTGTCAATTCTTGACACATTTGGTTAGAGACAGTTTTGTGTGACTTATACAGTTCGCGTGGAATTCTAGCTTTCAATAGTTCTAAGACAATTTCTGCACAATGTAAAATTCTAATTTAGCATGTCTAGTTTTAACTTAATGATAATAATTTAAAGTCGGCCTATCCAATACATTAAGTACTCTCCAAATTTCTTCTTTAGAAAAACAAAAATTTCTCTAACATTACAAATCGGTTACTCATATTCTGCCATGTCTACCCATATGACCTCGGACAGATCTTTTCCCCAAGTCCTTGGTTCCTTCATCTGGAAAGACGGGGTAATGCTCGCAGCAATCTTTGAGAAACAAATGCTTTAAGAGTCTGTATGTCTAGACACACGGTTTAAGCTCCACAGGTAGAGTGGTTTCCATTGTTATTTACTATCTGCTCTGTAGTAGACATCATCAACTTCAGTGAACGGTTATGATAAATCAGTCCTATGGTTGGGAGCTCTGGGGAAGCTGCACAGGGTGACCAGAGAATGTGGAGGGGCAAAGCCATCTACCACAGGGAACAAAAGAGAAGGCAGAGAGACCCAACAAGCCCCGTTAAAGGCGTGCCCCTAACCTCCCAACTTCTGATTGAGCCCCATCATCTCTTAAAGGCTGACTGCTTCCCCGCAGCAAGTAGACCAGTCACCAGAAACTTTTAGCACTGCCTTCTGGAGGCACTTAGAACCCAAACTATTATAGTCACACATAGCTGCCCCTTGAGACATTTGTTGGTGGCTCAATTAATACTAACCTAGTCATGCACTGAAGGAATTTCATAGCTCTGTTAAGAGATGGGTCTGCGGTCCCATCTGTGTTGCTCTGCTGGGTGGAACTGCAGGAATCTTTTTATCTAATTAGTTTAATTTAACAGCTTTTTGGTTCATTTTGAAGGGCATTGATTGAATGACTTTAGAGATCTTGGTAATGTGAAGAAATGAAATATAGTTCCATTGGTTACAGATGTGGCTATGGTCTCTCTCTCTCCCTCTCTGTGTGTGTGTGTGTGTGTGTGTGTGTGTGTGGCTCTTGTCACCTCTCTCTAGGGTGCTGTACACTCCCCCACCCAACCTCAGTCACAAGTCTGGCCCATGCCGTGACGAGCCCTCAGACTGTGAAATCTAGGGGTAATCCATGGGGACCACTCTGGGAGGGCTTTGCCTTCAGCTCTTCTTTCACTGGCCAGGAAGAGGAGATTATGGGTTGTGTGTGCGCCTGGAAACGTTTTAAAAGGAAGAGTCGGGATGTGACACATAGGAAGGGAAGACTACAGCTTCAGTCAGTCAGAGAGTTCTCCAGGGAAGAGCACACCAGTTGCTTATCCAATACCAAATGTCAGCCCTAAAAATGTCCATACAAGGAGCACTGCGCAGACTGAGTGGGTTGCTTACGTGCATTTTGATGTCTTAATCAGCACGTGCTGCTCACTGCTCTGAACCCAGATACACTCTGACAGATTTCTATCTTAATTTTTAACACGAAAATGCATTAAAAGGCATTTTTAAATGGATATCCAGCATATTTCAAAGTTGTCCGTTTTCTTAATATCTCAATGCATTGCATAGTTCATCCAAAAGTAAGTAAGGCATTTGCTATAGAGATGTTGGTCATGGGCAGACAGTGCTTTAAGAGTGGTGGAAAAACCAGACTTAGGCATAGGTGTTCTTATCTCTTAAAGTTACACCCTGGAGTTCTTTCTATATCATAGCTTTGAAGCCATCCTGACTATAGCCATGTAGTATCCCATCATTTGGCTTTCTGTATGACATCACTGAGTGTTGTTTCTCCTGAGTTGGAGAACTACAGCTATTACCAATGAGGGGAAAAGTAAAATACTTACGGTTTAGACAGTATCAGTCTTCTAGTTTTTCCTCCAGAAAAAGCACACTTCACCACAAATGTCACTGTCATGTAGAAATGGCCATCCCTTACAGTTGTCCAACTGTGGATATTGTTAAATTTTTTGGACTTTATTGTTATAATCGATGATGAATACATCAGGGTTTTGTTCATTTTTATTTTCACATAGTGTTATATCAAAGTCAAGCTAGAATCATAAAAAAAGATGAGACCATTGACTAAAACAGGGAAATCAGGGCAAAGGTCAAACTTAGGGGAAGGTTCATGTGTTTGTTCTTTATCCTGCTAAATAAAGGACATCAAAGAAAATGGGGCTCTGAAGAGACAGCAGGGCCCTCAACAGGGTGTGTGTGGAAGTAATTCTATTATCAGAACCCAATTTAAGTTTTGTTTTCTCTTAAAAATAAGGCAGATTGATGCAAGTGTGTGTGTGTGTGTGTGTGTGTGCGCGCACACGCGCACACACACACACACACACACATGTGCTATGCTATGAAATCTCACCGGAATGTATTTTCCTGCAGTGCTATCACATTTTTGTTCATCAAAAGTGAAATTGAGACTAATGCATGCAGTATGGACCACACACCGCTGATGACAGAACCGGTGAGTATTGTGTGGGAACAACTGGATTTGAAACCTAAGACTGAGATGTGTCTTCATTCCTGTTGCTATTGCTAGGAAGTGACGGGGAGACCACAGCATCTCTCATAAGGGAAAACATTTAACTGGGGCTGCCTTACAGCTCAGAGACTTAGTCTGTTATCACGGTGAGAAGCATAGCAGCCCACAGGCAGACATGGTGCAAGAAAGGGAGCCAGAAGTTCTACATCCAGATCCGCAGGCAGCAGGAAGAGAGGGCGGGGGAGAGAGGGAGGGAGAGACTGGGACTAACCTGAGCTTCTGAAACCTCGGAGCCCAGTCCCAGTGACACACTTCCCCCAACAAGGCCACACTACCTAAAAATTCCACTCCCTATGAGCCTTTGGGGGGCCATTTTCATTCAAACTACCACGGGATGTAAGGACAAAACAAAACTCTGACATACGCGTAAGAATGCGTTATTTTCCATCCCTCATCCTATAAATATAGTTCAGCATATTTATCAGAAGTGGGTCAGGTTTCCATGGCGACACTTCTTCCTAAGCACGAGACGGACTTTTTTGACAATAGATCCCCACATACGAATGCAGCTTTTTCACTGATGATACATTCGGGTTTTGTACAGCCCTGCAGAGAGATGGGAGAGTCACTTGGGAAAAGAAGGCAGGAGGCTGAGGCGTAGACAGAAGGAAGGGATGGGCAGAGGGAGCTAATGACAGTCGGTGAGATCGTGTGCCGGTAGGAAACGGACTTGATTTTCTTTCCATTTATGGTTTTATTTATCATGTTTTGCTTAATGACAATAACAGAAAATATGCAAGGGGGCAGTTTTGACCGTGAGGAATATGAGTTGATATGAAATAGCCAACCAGTGCTGAACAGGGCCAACATTAAGAGACGTGGCACGGCCCAGGTGTCCGGGGTCCCACTGTAAAGTTTGCTTGAGGGGCCAGCTCCCGTTGCCCGGAACCTTCAGTTTCGGCCATCCCCTCCATCTACTCGGCTTCCTGGCTGCTTGCCACCTTCTGAGCCCTCCCTGGCAGCTTCGTCTCCTTGCCCTTACCCCTTCCTCCTGTCCCCTTGCCTTCTTCCCCTATGCAAACCTCCATCGTACAAGATGGCTGGTACCTTCATTAAACTGACCGGAAAAAGAAAGAGATGGGATGTTAATTCCTGGGCATTCATAAGCACTGTTTGCTTCAAGAAAAAAGATGAGTTGGCCCCAAAAGGATGCTCTTGTGTTCCTCACCTGATCCAGGGATCTAGATGCCTCCCAGCTAACCACCCTTTGAACAAAGGAACAAAGTGTATAAACAAAATTAACACAACTTGAAAAGAGACACACCGTAGGCCTACTAGATCTTCTAGGCAGGGTCAAGGGGTACAAACAACCAAGATTAAAGAGAGGCAAGCGTCAGGATGGATAAGGATGCAGGCACAAGCCTGAGACCCACAACACCAACTGAGGATACCCTGACTCAGCGGGGACAGTGAACTCAAATCTAGCTCCTATGGACACCAAGGATACGCCAGCCGGAAGGCACAGAAGATTACAGTTAATAATAGAAATGGAAAAAATTTTCTTCAAACCCGTTCACAGGTTTTCCTCAACTTAAGTATTACTCTAAACTGGAAATGTGCCTAGAGATATTTTAATTCAGTGAAACAAAACATTAAAATAATGTTATTGGGTGAAGAAGAGACATAAAAACGCATACTGCACTCCACTGTAGAAAGTCTGAGCTCTTATTGGTTCTAATTTCTTTACAGTCTATTAAAATGCACTAAAGACCATGAGAGCTAAGTTTATCAAATACCTACACATAAATTTGTGAAGAATAAAGTGGGAAACTGGAGGGCCAGAGTCAGAAGAGCCGCTCAGCACTCCCAGAGCCCCTAGGTGACTTGTTTAAGGCGCGTTTGGGAGGGGAGAAAAGCCTGGCCATCCTTTGGTGGCACTGAACCTGTATGCTGAAGGCCCTTGAATGCGAGTGTTTCTTCTGACCCCCCACAGGTGATCAACACAACGGAAGACCTCTGCACTGCTTCCTCCTGGGTGGACAAGCTTTCTACCAAGTACCACCGCACTGTGTAAGGCGAGAGGGCTTCTCATTCTCTTGCTGTGTGTATGTCTGGCTGAAACAGGACCCAGAGGAATGTGTTTACGGGAGTTTTTATTTATTTACTTATTTTGTGTTTTATTTGTTCATCTGATCCCAGGAAGAAAATGATGACAAAAAACTCATTTCCACCTCCTGTGGATCGGGGCAGGGATTGCTCTTTCCATACCTCTGAGTTTTAGGTATAGAAGTTGGTTATTTAGCTTAGATGCCTCAAGGAATACCAAATGCTGTAGTATATCTGACAGGTTAACCAGTGACAAAGGCAACCTTATTTTGTGTTTGCTTGTTTTTTATTTTAGAACCTTATTTACATATCTATCCCCCATTCCCTCGCCCTCCCATGCTTCCCAGCAACCCCGCAACCCCCAACCCACCCCCACCCACTCGCCAGGGATAGTGAGACCCTCCACGGGAGATCGTCATAGTCCATCACATCATTTGGGGGAGGGCCCAGGCCCTCCTTTCGTGTCTGGGCTGCAATAGTATCCCTCCATTGGGAATGGGCTCCTAAAGTCCATTTGTGACCGAATAATAAACCTTGGCTGTTTGAAGTTTGTGGAGCCGGGACCATGAAGTGGTGACACACTTTGTCTTGTGCATGCTAGTCAAACACTATCACTGAGCTGTACCATCCCAATCTAAAGGCATCAGATATGTTGTCTTCACAGTGGGAAAGAAGCCATGGAGTACATGTTGGACAAAATTAAATGAAGGATGAGGGAAAACTAATCAAGCTGTGAAGGAAAAGGCATATTACCATTTTTGCATTCAGAATGAAACTGTTTCCTAAAAATATGTATTTTTTTAATTTTTCATAATTTTTTCTCACAAAGAGTGTCTCCCACTAAGGGAATGTTTGTGAAGGGAAAGAGTTTCAGTGCTGAGGTTATAGTTCAAAGGTTGTACCATAAAGTGCTCACCTAGGCTGTGAGAGGCCCAGGGATCCAGCCCAAGCGCCACCTAAAAAGAAATTCTCACTATTCTTTACCTAGTTACGTGTTTGGTCCACTCAGAGCCAAGATGTCTTGTCGTCATTCAAGTTTGGGATCTGCATTGTATGTGGGATATATTGCCAACACGTACAGAGAGTTCTGGACTCTCACGTCCTTTAAATGTCCTTAAATAAAAACACTACAAGTGACAATGAATTTGTGTTTAGGCTTAGGGGATTTTTTGTTTATTTACTTTGTTTTTCATTTTTGAAACAGTATCTTTCTATGCATTCCGAACTTGCTTCAAGCTTGCAATGTTTCTCTTTCCGAGATTACAGGGGGACCACCATGCATTGAAGGCAGGGGTCTTGCTAAAACTGCTTCCCTCTTTTAAGTCATTATTTGTATGAAGATAGAGTGACTGTCCTAAAATTGCCATCTTCTCCCTGACTTCCACATCTCTGCAAATGCCCACGCCCATTTCAAGCATCCAGTGCTCAAGACCAAGGAGTTAGAGTTGTTTGAAATGAGACATTTTTTATTCTCAGAACAGAATTTTTTAACCTAAATTATTCAGATTCTCAGGCTCAATTAGCACTTCAACCGAAACAAAAATTCATTGTCCTTAGTCTGTCATGGTTCCATGATGGATCCTGGAGTACGCTTTTGAGAGAAACTTGAGGACCACAATGTCCACCCACAAATACCTCATACATTAGTTTATTTGGAGGGCAAATGACCCAAGGATAGCAATCCTCTCAGCTCGTGAGTAATTACCACTTGTAGTATAGATTTCTTACTCCCTCTGCCTGCCATGTCCTTCCACCATGACACAGTAAACTAAGTGTACATTCTGTTTTCATGACTCTCCTAGTCACAGGCCTCAAGACAGAGGGGCAGCTTCTACGAAAGTTCTTAAAATCTGTATATTGAAGAAAGCCTTACTTGTGGTTCTGTTTGTATGTTGAAAACACTTCCTCTGGCCAGGATTCACAGGGATTTCTTTTTGTTTCTTAAGGGGCTGCAGCCTTGCAGTGATATCTGGAATACTCTATGGATCTACATTTGTGCCAATCATTTACATTAAGGACCACAGCAGGAGAAACGAGAGCATATACGCGGGCGCTAGTCAGTATGGTGAGTGAAGCCCATTCACTGATGCTCCATCATTAACAGAAAAGGCGTCATGGCCGCATCCGTGCCGCTGTGTGCATATGTCTTTCCTTTTGTAAGTGGTGGAACAGAAGGCACCAGGAGTAAAAGTGACGATGGCCTTTAGAATATTGGGATCTGTAGCATACAAATGAAACCAGCTACAGTCAGGATTCATTTCCCCTGCTGGGATCTCAGCACAGGGACCCCAGCTTTCCACTAGGATTCGGAGACTATGAAGAGTCCTTTATGTCCAATGACCTGTGGGAGGAAATGTACTCTATGATTTTCAAAAGCTAGAGTCGTACACAGTTCTTAAACCAAGTAAATGTCAAGCACAAGCCTATTCAGTCAGGGGATACTATTCTTCAAGCACAAAGTGGTCCATTGAAAGGGTCAACATAATGCCTGCAGTTCTAAAATTAGTATCTCAGGATCCGCATTCTGCACAACAGCCCTGGGAAAGCTGGAAGGGAGATAAAGGAGGATCTACTGCAGGCAGGGGTCTCGTGACTCCATGGAAACAAGACATACTCAAGGAAGCAGGAAAATAGAGTTCTGGGTTAGGTGACAGGGGAAAGCAATGTGACTTTTAACCAGATAAGGGAGACATTTGAAACAGAACTCCTAAGAAGCAGATGAGGCAGGAAAGCCACAAGCTCTAGGCCATTTTAGTCCCCGCAGGGAGAACTTGAGTTATTGCTGAGGATTGAACTTGACTGCTAATCTTGAGTCTGTCAGAGCCCGTTTCCTACTCTTCTGTACTTTGGCCCATGTGGGGTACCCTCTATTGATCTCTTTTATTCAAAGTTTTACATATTTTTTAGATTTATGTTTGTTTTCTTTTTAAAAGATAATAACTAAAATAAAACTTAATCACAGGAAGGAGAAAAGAACAAGACAGAAGGAACAAACAGAGCTAAAGTGAGTTTGACATCATTGTAGAACACTTGTATACTTGCTTGTAACAAGCATGAATTTGGCTCTTGGAATTCTCTTAGCCACAGGGGAAATCAGTTCGGCCCCAGAAGTCAGTGAAGACAGATTAAGAACAATTGACTGTTCAGGAATAAAGCCCCTCCTGGTCCCGGGATATAATGAACAATGTCCTCAACTGTCTGTCTATATAAATAGACAATGAGTTTTTAGGGATTGTTCCCACAACTCTGGCTGTATAGATGCAGTCTCACAGGGACACTCTTTATACCAGTTTGTGAAAAAGTCATCCTCAGTGGGCATTACTGTATTTTGTTTAATGGCACACATGTATCTTGTGCTCCATGGTAAGGACTTTTGCAGATACTAATGGATAGCTCTACCTCCTTCCATGGATACATAGATGGATTTCTATGATCTACAATTTGATTTCAGGTTTAGAAGAAGAGAGACACGTGCAGTTCAGGTTTTCATGCAAAACCACCACTCATCCTTGTCAAAACTATAGATTATAGAAGCATTAACTCCAAGATAGATGTCCTAGCCACGCTCCCACAGGGCACCCATCTGCTCAGGCTGTCGGCAATATTAGGCTTTCCCAAGATGAGCCACCATCATGTGTCATTACAATTCTCCACCATGGAACTAGTTTGTTGTAAATGGTTAGACAAAGCTGCCCTTGGAATAACTTCCAAAGCTTTATGATCTCCCGTACAGCTGCCATCGGCAACAGACCATGTAGTTTGGACACATATGAGTGCCCATTTTTATTCACAATCTCCCCTCCAGTCTACAGTCATAGAGACAGGGCTGAATGTGTATTCCTTCTTAAAAGGCAACTTCATATTATAGTTAGACAATATTCACCATTTTTTACCGTAGTTTCCAGGGCTACTATGAAAAATAGCCTAATAGATTTCACTGTAGTTAACTTTATTAATATTTCTAGATTTTAAATGTTTGTTATAATTCTATACAAACGACACATGGAGAATGAGGATAACTAAATACCATTAATGGTCCTGTACACTTAAGGTTAGTTTCTGTGAGTATGTTTTATGTTACAGAAATTAAGGTCTATTGAGGTGACTGGAATGACGTTTGCATTTTGTCATCTGTGTTTACAGATTTAGACTATGTTTTTGCATACTCCAGTGGCATCTTTCTTACAAGTACAGTCTACTTTGTGGCCTATTGTATAAGCATGAAAAATAGGCCGAAGCTGTATCCAGAGGCAGTCTTACCAGGTAAGAAAAAATATTATCTACACAAGAATCTTACTATGCTGTGAAAGTGCCAGCCTCCACTAAATGAACTTGAATAACCATTAGAAGGGGAGGAGAAGGAAGAAAGGGAGAGGAGAAGGGAAGAAGGGAGGGGGAGTGTGTTCTCTTAAGGGCTTTGGTCCAGTTCCCCATAAAATAATAAGTATTGAAAAACACCATGAAACTGTTCACAAAATGTTAATCACCAACACAGAACCTAAAACTGTCGATGGATTTTGATGTTTCCTGTGCTAAAAGATCTTCTATTGGGGTCATCCATCTTTACTATACTTTTTTCTACCATTTCAAGATTTATACAACAACTCAGAGCCCACTGCCTCTAAAAGCATCAACAGATAAAAGCATGTAGTCACTTAGAAAAAAAATAGTTTACTGAAAAACTTAAAGGGGGTGGGGAACTAACAGAAAGTGTGTTTGGGGTTATAAATCCTCCAGTCACTGATTGTTGAGATAATAATAGATTCTCACTGAAGAGTTCAGCATAATTCAGTTTGAAACATATATCCACAAGTAAACATACGTTTACATAAAGTAAAGCATAAGTGACTTGACTATTTTTGAATATCGAATTGATAGGCAACGGTATAAAGTATTTATTAAACACCTGGCTATAGCCTTGTAAGTGATGTAGTTGGATTTTTCACTTGAAAGTCAGGACTCTATCTTCCCCCGGCTCTAATACCATTCTCTACTTCACAAACATGTCAGATCCAGTACGCTCCCTTGTGTTCCAGGCTTCCTGTCAGGGGTGCTGTGGACCATCGCCACCTGCTGCTTTTTCATAGCCAACCACTCGCTGAGCCCCGTCATCAGCTTCCCAATCATCACCGCTGTAAGTGGCCCATCTCCAGGGTTGTTTTTACAGTAAACCTGGACAAGCCGCCCCTCGCTACTCTCCTTGGTCTCGATTGCTACGGAGTGATGTTCATAACCCTTTTTTTAAGCAAGTTTGCAAATGCCTAACTAATCTTCGTAGCTCCCTGCAATTTTTCCTTTGGTCATTTTTATCCAATGTCGTCTGGGATACATTAAGACTTTCTACTCATGACTCTTTCAGTCTCGCTTGTGTAACATAACGTGAAACTAAAAGTACTTCAGATTCCGTGACATGGTGCGTTCCCGAGTCAAGGAAGTTTCCAGAGATGATGATGCCCCTACTCATGGGAAGTGCTGTCTGCTTCAGTGGGTCTTTGGGGCTTAATTATGTGAAATGTAGGTAACAGCAAAAACCAAATGCTTATTTGGCATAGCATAAGTGGTGCTACAAACAGCCCCATGTTGAAGATGAGGAAACTGAAGAACTAGCAGGAACCCTGGCTGCATCACAGAACTGGTGGAAACCAGAAACTTCAGAGAGCAGTTCCCACACCCACTCCTGTGGGTGCCCCCTTATCACCTCGCACAGTCTCCTGTCCATGGTGGTATATAAACACAGGTGTTTTCCTTAAGATATTATTGCTGTTTTAATTATGTGTACTCCTGTGTGCTGTGTGGACCTGAGCCCCTGGAGCTGGCATTACAGACAGCTGGCCAGCCATGCCACACGGGCGCTGGGAACAGAACTCAGGTGTTCTGCAAGAGCAGCGGGGCTCTTAGCTGTTGAGTCACCCCGCTTTTACGAGCTTCTGACCAGTTTTCTCCTGATTCCCTGAGTAATCATCAGAAACACTTTTTTTTTCTAAATCATTTTAGTAGCATACATGTACAAAACTAAAAACCTTAAAAACTGAATAGTCTAAAACAGATTTCATAAAGGCTTGATATGAGCTGTGGGTTTGAAATTATATTTTGGGTGTTTATTTTTGAAACAGTGTCTTTGTAAGCCAGGCTGGCCTCAACTGTGAAATCCTCCTGCTTCAGCCTCCAAAATGCTAGAAGTCACACGATCATATGTCACAAAGCCTGGCTCATACAGTGTGCTATTGATGGTTCTGAATTGATCAGATAACACCTATACACAGCGAAATTAAAATAATCTAAATTATTTTCCTCATTTAAAGTGAAACTGTGTGTTGGCCCAAAAAGAAAAGGTCTAACTGTGCTAGTCTCAAATTCTTTTGTTAGATCCAAAGTCTTGTAAAAGGCAAACGGAGAGGGAGAAGCAAGACCCACATATCCCTGCTCAGGATTTCCCCTCTCTCTGTTCCCTTTCTTCCCCAGCAATTCTAAAACCAAATCAACTCATCCACAAGGCTTGGTTTCCTTACCATCACTGTAATTACCTACATTTTTTCACTGTCAAATAATTTATTCTGTTAATTTACTGCAGCTATTTCATAACTTTTCAGTGTTTAAAACAATAACCAGTCAATTGCTTTGTTAATTTGCTTTAAAAATACCCAAAATTTGGTAAATGCATATGTCTTACTGTTTCTACTGCTTAATTGCCTATATATACATAAATATATACATAATTTTTTAATTTAAATTAGAAACAAGGATGCTTCACAAGTCAGTTCCAGGTCCCTCTCCGTTTCCCTCCCCTCCTCCCGTGCCCTCCCACCAACCCCCCCAATATCCCCTCATTTCCCCAGAGAGGGTGAGGCCCTCCATGGGGGTGTCCATAGTCTGTCATTTCATCCAGGGCAGGGCCTAGACCCTCCCCCAAGAGTTCAGGGTGAGAGTGCATCTCCCATTGTTGGACGGGAGTCCAAAGTCCGTGTGTATACCTGGGATGAGTACTGATCTACTGCCCAAGCCTCAATAGATTACCTAGGCCACCTCACTGACACCCACATTCAGGGGGTCTTGATCAGTCCCATGCTGGATTCCCAGGCAACAGTCTGGGATTTAAGAGCTAACCCTTGTCAGGTCAGCTGTTTCTGGGGTTAAACCAGCCCAGTCTTAATCCTTTGGTCATCAGTACTCCCTCTCTGTTACTGGATTTCTTGAGTTCAGCTCAGTGCTTAGCCGTGGGAGTCTGCCTCTTCTTCCATCAGCCACTTAATGAAGGTTCTGTTTCCCAAACTCTCTGGCCATGGGATTGTAGGCTGGCACTCCCCAGATCTATGTCTAAAATCCATATATGAGAGAGTATATGCCATGTTTCTCTTCTTGTGACTGGATTACCTCACTCAGGATGGTTCCTTCTAGTGCCATCCATTTGCCTGCAAATTTCAGGATTCCATTGGTTTTTTTTTTCTGCTGAATAGTACTCCATTGTGTAAATGTACCACATTTTCTCTATCCACTCTTCGGTTGAGGGGCATCTAGGTTGCTTCCAAGTTCTAGCTATTACAAACAATGCTGCTATGAACATAGTGGAACAGACATCCTTGTTGTATGAATGGGCATCTTTGGATACATGCCTAAGAGTGGAGTTGCTGGGTCTTGTGGTAGGATTATTCCCATTTTTCTGAGAAATCTCCATACTGATTTCCAAAGTGGCTGTACAAGTTGGCACTCCCACCAGCAGTGGAGGAGTGTTCCCATTTTCCTCATCCTCTCCCACAAAAATTGTCGTTGGTGTTTTTTATTTTAGCCATTCTGATAGGAGTGAGATGGTATCTCAGGGTTGTTTTGATTTGCATTTCCCAGATGGCTAAGAATGTTGAGCACTTTCTCAAGTGCCTCTCAGCCATTTTAGACTCCTCTATTGTAATTCTCTAGTTCTGTAGCCCACTTTTTAATTGGATCCTTTGGTGTTTTGGAGACTTGCTTCTTGAGTTCTTTGTAAATTTTTGAATTTTGTGGAGTACAGATTTTCAAAGTATGACCTGATGATTCTCTGAATTTCCTCAGAGTCCGTTGTTATGTCCCCCTTTTCATTTCTGATTTTGTTAATTTGCATGTTCACACTCTGCTGTTTGGTAAGTTTGGACAAAGGTTTATCTATCTTGTTGATTTTCTCAAAGAACGAACTCTTCGTTGCATTGATTCTTTGTATTGTTTTCCTAGTTTCTACTGGTGTCTACTCCTCCTGGGGGAGTTTGCATCTTTGTGTTCTAGAGCTTTCAACTGTGCTGTTAATTCTCTAGTATAACTATTCTCCCGTTTCTTCATGTGGGCACTTAGTGCTATGAACTTCTCCCATAGCACTGCTTTCCAAGTGTCCCATAGGTTTGGGTATGTTGTGTCTTCATTCTCATTGAATTATAGGAAGTCTTTAATTTCTTTTTTTATTTCTTCTTTGACCCAGGAATGGTGCAGGTATGCATTATTCAATTTCCATGAGTTTTTATGGTTTCTGCAATTTGTGTTGTTGAATTCTAATTTTAACGCATGGTGGTCTGATAAGATGCATGGAGTTATGTGTGAAATCCCTAGTTATAGGTGTATTGATGGGCTCAAGTTCGGTACTTTTCTCTTCTAGGTAATAAAACTGTGAACTAAGCAGCAGCTCCAGCCCTGACACTTGTGAAAGTTTGTGAATATTTCCATATTTCCTGGCACTTTTTGCACCTTCAGAGTTTACAGAATAAACTCTTGTCCTTCAGGTCACACTGACACGAGTGAAGTCACAAAGCTGCATTATGCTCAGTGTCATATCTTATTTGGCTCTTGGATGCTACTTAGCAAGACTCCTGTCCAAATGGCAGGCAATGGTGAGCAAGGCAATTAGGGAGATTGGTTTAGCATGCATGGTTTCATTTTCTGCTTCCTACGGTGGGAGATGAAGGGACCAAGATAACCAAATTTGACTTAGTCAAATTTAGACATCAATTTTTTCAGATTGTTTTTGTGTTATAACAGCACTTACGATAAATTTAAACTTCATTATTTTTTAAAATAACTATTTCAGAAGACTTTTACAGGTGTGTGAAATCTCCTTGTCTTTTCTCAGTCTCTTTATCCTTTCTACGTTAGTTTATTGTCTAAAAAGATTTTTAAAATGCATCAACTTTTCAAATAATATCTTTTTTGAGCCTTTTTGTGTATTTGGTGTTCTGTTACATCAATTTGTTCATTAGTTTTAGGTTGGTTCAATTCATTGCTGTTATTTTAATGTCATATATTAAAATGCCACCAAATAATAACCTTGAAAAAAAAGATGCATGGAGTTATTCCAATTTTTTTGTACCTGCTGAGGTTTGATATGTTGCCAAGTATGTGGTTGATTTTTGAGAAGGTTCCATGTGGTGGTGAGAAGAAGGTATATTCTTTTTTATGTGGATGTAATGTTCTATAGATGTCTGTTAGTCCCAATTGGGTCATAGCTTCTATTAGACCCTTTGCTTCTTTGTTGAGTTTCTGTCTGGTATTCCTGTCTAGTGGTATGAGTGGGGTGTTGAAGTCTCCCACTATAAGTGTGTGGGGCTTTATATGTGATTTAAGTTTTAATAATGTTTCTTTTATGAACATGGATGCCTTTGCATTTGGGTCATATATGTTCAGGATAGACACTTCATCTTGGTGGATTTCACCTGTGATGAGTATGTAATGACCTCCTTCATCTCTTTTGATTGATTTTATTTTAAAGTCTAATTTGTTAGATATTAGGATTGCTACCCCTGTTTTTTTCTTGGGTCCATTTGATTGGAAAATCTTTTCCCAACCTTTAACTCTCAGGTAATGTCTGTCTTTGAGGGTGAGGTGTGTTTCTTGTATGCAGCAGAAGGATGGATTTTGTCTTTGAATCCATTCTGTTAGCCTGTATCTTTTTATGGGTGAGTTAAGGCCATTAATATTGAGGGATATTAATGACCATTGATTGCTCATTCTTCTTTGATTTGGAATGGTTGTGGGTGGTGGAATTATGTGTGGAATTCCACCGCTTCTTTTGGCTGTTGGTAAAGTGGGATTATCTAATGCCTATCTTTTTCTGGTTGTAGTTAACTTCCTTGGGTTGGAGTTTTTGTTCCAGAACTTTCTGTAGGGCTGGGTTAGTGGGTATTGCTTGAATCTAGTTTTGTCATGGAATATCTTGTTTTCTCCATCTATAGTGACTGAGAGCTTTGCCAGGTATAGTAGTCTGGGTTGACATCCGTGGTCTCTTAGTGTTGGTAGAATATCTATCCAGGACCTTCTAGCTTTGAGAGTTTCCATGGAGAAGTCAGGTGTAATTCTGATAGGTTTGCCTTTATATGTTACTTGGGCTTTTTCCTTAGCTGCTCTTAATATTCTTTCTTTATTCTGTGTATTTAGGGTCTTGATATTATGTGACAAGGGGACTTTTTTTTTTTTTTTTTTTGGTCCACTCTGTTTGGTGTTCTGTAAGCTTCTTGTACCTTCATTGGCATGTCTTTCTTTAGTCTGGGAAAGTTTTCTCCTATGATTTTGTTGAATATGTTTTCTGCCCCTTTGAGGTGGTTTTCTTCACCTTCTTCTATACCTATTATTCTTAGGTTTGGTCTTTTCATGGTGTCCCATATTTCCTGGATGTTTTGTGTTAGGGATTTGTTGGACTTAAGATTTTCTTTGGTTGATGAATCCATTTCTCCTAGTGTATCTTCAACACCTGAGATTCTCACTTCCATCTCTTGTATTCTGTTGGTAATGCTTGCATCTTTAGTACCTGACTGTTTGCCCAGCTTTTCTATTTCCAGCCTTTCTTCAGATTGTGATTTTTTTTTATTGTGTCTATTTCAGTTTTCAACCCTTGCACTGTTTGAATTGTTTCTTGCAATTTTCAGTTTATCTTTTCGTCCATTTGTTGAATTTTATGAATTTTTTGGTTTGTTCTTTCTTCCATTTCTTGCTTTTTTGGGGGTTGCTTTTTCTTCCATTTCTTGCATTTTTTGGTTTGTTTTTTTTTCTTCCATTTCTTTGAGGGATTTTCCTATATCCTCTTTTAGGGCCTCTATCATTTTCATGAAGTTGTTTTTAAGGTCATTCTCTTCTGCTTCATTTGCATTGGAATGTTGGAATCTTACTGGTGTGGAGTCTCTAGAATCTGGTGGTGTCATATTTGTTTTTCTGTTGCTGAGTGTGTTTTTGTATTGTCTCTTTCCTATCTCTTCTTCTAGTGGGTGCAGAAAGAGCCCCTTACTGGTCTGGTGGTTAGGGGACCAGAGTTCCCTTTTGGTGGGTGCTAGCAAGTCCAATACTCTGGTAGTCCTTCTATTCCTCATCCTAGTTCTGGTCCTGTGGGTGGAGAAGAAGACCAGGAATCTGGGGTGCTTAGCCTCCCACCTGGTCCTCTGACCCCTTTGGTGGAAGAGAAGACTTGGGATCTGGGGTGCATGGCTCCTGCCTGGATGGGAAGCTCTGTGGCAGTTTCCAGGGAATCCCCAGGCACTGGAATGCAGGCCTGGATGCAGGGCCTGTTTTACCTGGTCCTGCCGGACCAGCTGGTCCCCTGGTCTAATTACCTACATTTTATTGAGTGCCTTTGTACCAAGTATCATGCTCAGCACTTTAGGTTGGCTCCTCAACACAGCACCAAACCTGCCTTCTCTTTCAAAGCCTGGTTTAGCTGTGATGTGATTTATTCTACACCAGGAAACACGCCGTTGAAACGCACCAAGAAGCTGCACTTGCTGGGCAACGCTCTTTCTCTTTGTCTCACCTTGGCCTGGGGTGTACATTACTGTAGCACGGTATGGCCTCCTAAAACTATTTGTCCTCACAGCAATGTTCAGAACATGGCTAAAGGGACCGTCGGAAAATCACCAGGTGGGAAGCGAGGGAGGCCCGTAGCACCTGTGGTCCTCGATTTTTCTGGAGGGAAATGCATCTTCAGAATGAAGAGGATAAAGATAGATTCCCGAGTAACTAGTGAGACGTTGGCATTGACTGTCTGTCATTCCCCGTCTGTTTCCTCCCGCCCCTTCAAGGTGTGGGCTGTGCGTTTGATTTGGACTCTGAGGATGCGCACTTTACATTACTGATGTAAGGCAGTTCCTTTGACCTATTTCTCTGGCCCCTTTGATGCTGACTTCACAGAGCAAAGGGTTTTTGTTATTGTTGTTGTTGTTGTTTTTACTGCTTCCCGCACACACTAGAAACAGGGGCAGCAAACTTGGTTGGGCCAGCCCTGTAGACTGTTGGAGTAGTCCTGGGAGAGAGAACACTGTGGGATTGTTTATTGAAGCTCTTCCAGAGTCCCTGCAGGGCTTGAAGAGGAGTCATTAAAATTCTGGTCTCATATTTCTTTTTCATCAAGATCACAGCTAAGTCAACTCCACAGTTTTCCTTGCCGGTGAAAACCATGAACAGATCTCAGCAGCTTCACATTTTCCAATTAGAGGCTTTTCTCTTGTTGCTTCTCGTCTCCTAGTCTCTGTACTTTTTTTTCTTTCTTGTCCTTGCCTCCAGTAACTTCTGTGCTTGCCTACACGGTTTTATTTTCCGTTCGTGTGTGTCTAGTGTTAGACAAAGTCAGTTGGTCTGCATGGGGACCTAGTATTACCATCTTTACATTGTCTAATGAGGCAAAGATGCCCCTGCCGAAGTTAGGAGATCGGATCTTGTACTTAATGGTGAGAAAATTTAAGGTGTGTGTATACACTTTATTTTATCAATCCCTTTATATGTGCTTAATAAGTAAGTCAGGAGAAAAGCAAGCTATTGGCTTATTTTAAAGAGAGGGAGATTTGTTTATTTTTTGTTGTTTGTTTAGGGTTTTGGTTTTCTGTTGGGGGAATTTGTTTGTTTTTTTATTATTATTTAGTTTTAAACCCAGAATTGCCCACAGATGAGGGAGGCACTGTACCACTGAGCTGTAGCCCCTCCCCATTTCAAATTGTACTCAATTTTTTTAGGACAGTTTTTCTAAATTAGCCAGGCTGGCTTTGAACTCAGTCTTTAGCCCTGGCTGGCCTTCAATTTTCAATCTCCTGCCATAGTTTCCTGAGTATCCAGGAATACACTCTTGCACCACTAGGCCTGGCTAAAATAGTTTATCATAAACTTATCACATGAAAGAAAAGACAGAAAATGTTATTGTGTCATTAAAACAATAGCAGTCATGACCATGAAGACAAAAAAACATCTTATGTAATGGTATTGCCTTGATTTTTCACCTGATCATATTTTACATTGCCTGTAGCTTACTGCATTTTTCTAGGGCATGGTTATATGAAAATATCTAATAAAATTAAAGTTCTTTTATTTAAGGGCCCTGGACTTATCGCTGCGCTGTGGGGTGTCTTCATTTTCAAGGAAATACAGGTAAGGATAAAGAAATGATTGCCATCCCCAGCTGTCCTTCTCCTCTAGGAAACTGAGAAGTTTGCGTAGATTGTTAGATCAATGGGGAAATAGACCCACTGAGGGCATCGTTCTGCTGGGGCTTAGCAAAGAGCTCCAATAGTTGGGCATACAGCACTAATAACTGAAGGGTCATCAACTTACAGCATCCTTTCTCATTCACCAGGTACATCTGGAGAGCCTTTGAATGTATCCATTCTCTAGACACAGTTACTGAGTGCCTATTCTGAGCTAGTCCCAGTAGCTAGGTTAAGGTTGAAGGTTTCTAAAAACTAAGATGAAGATGTTAGAAGACCTGAAGTGCTAGTGTGGGACTCACATACGTGGGAGTGTGTGTGTACAGAAGCTGACCCCATCGGGCAGCTCTGGGGTGCTGCACTTCACCAGTAGAGAATTAGATGCAGTCTTCAGTGCTTAGACTCCCAGAAAGCCAGACAACTTGCCTTGCCTAGACCAAACTTAGAAAGCTCTGATCAAAGACAAAGTAATATACTCTGGCCTGATTCTTCATTAAATTGCAGAAAGAGTATGCATAATGTTGGTCTTTGAATTACATGTTAAGGGTCATTACTCTTTTTTAGAAACAGATTTTATTTACTTTTTTATTATTTATGTGCATATGTCACTGTGTGTGTGCATGCGCGCGCGCGTGTGTGTGTGTGTGTGTGTGTGTGTGTGTGTGTGTGTGTGTGTGTATGCGAGCGTGCATGCAGTTGTCTGCAGAGGCCAGAAGAGAGTGCTGGAGACCCTAGAGCTAGAGTTAAGGCAGTTGTAAGCTGCCCCGCATTGGTGCTGGAAACTGAACTCAGGTCCTGGAAGAGCAGCAAGGCCTCTTCACCACTGAGCCATCCCCAAGTGTGCTTAGTCTTGATACGAGCTATGAGTTTGGAAGCACAGCTATCTTAGCAGGATCCGCACCTCTCCGTCCTGGGTAGTGTTTCTGCTGTGTCTGGGTTTGCTGCGCAAACTTACCTCTGCTCTCTGAGTTGTCAGAACTGAAGCCCAGTCAGTACCCCTAAGGAAGTGTCAGGAAAAGACGGCAAGGGAGGCCAGGAAAACTTCCTTTGCAGAGGGCCCTGCTGTGTGCTTAGGAGAGCCAGTCTCACTGTAAACTGGCCCTCTTCGGCGGGTCTGTGATGCATGGCGCGACCCCGCTAGGGCACTCCTTCCTAGTCTTCCCTCAAAATAGACTTGGCCAAGGGGCAGCAAACAAGGAACCCTTTCCCCCGCTTTGCATCTTTCCAAGCTCAAACAGGTCTCCCCTGTGGGATCCACTGCGGCGGTCCACAGGTTTTCATGCATGCTCTGTTGATCTCTTAGCCAGGCATTCCTGGGGAGGTGCTCCGAAATGCAGCTCTCAGCTCTGAGGAGCACCCCTGAGCAGTGCCCAGCCTTCACAAACTCACTCTCCAACAAAAAGTCAGCCGATGCTCTCCAGAGACACAGCATCCCAATTCCCATCTTCCTCTAAGTTTGTGCCCTCACCTAAGTAATTCTAGGTCATATGCCTGGCCACACCCAATAACCAGCATTATGATGAGAGGAAGGTCACCTGCACTTTCCCTGCAGATGTGAAGCAGGCTTGGTCCCTACATCCCTATCTCCCCCACCCCCGTGGTCCTCTCAGAATCCCTGAGTGTCCACGACCCGACTACAATTAAGTCACTGCCACCCCTTTTCTTGCTGTCTTTTTTATTCTGTGTCTTTTACATCGTGTATCTTGATCCCATTCATTTCCCTGCCCCTTCCCATCTGCCCTCTGCCCCTGCAGCCCCCAAAAATAAAACAAAATTTAAGAGACGAAAGGGATAAAAGGGGGTAAAAATTAAAAATCTCATCTTGGGAGCTGCAGCGTGACACAGCGAGTCTTGCAGGAACCCCTTTGTTCATGTATCTTTACTTGGACGTGTTCATTGCTAAGAGTCGTTGGTCTGGTTCGAGACCTCTGGTTATACTACACTGTGGATGTTGGGATCACATGATCATGCCTTCTAAGGACCCAGAGTAGCATTCTATGATTTCCCTATTAGGTGATCTAAAACTTGGTGAGGGAAACTAGTAGCCACGTGCTTAACTTGAAGCATGAAGACCTGAGTTCGATCCCAGAATCCATACTAAAATAAAAGTCCAGGTGTGGTGGTGTACACTTCTAATCCCAGCACTGGAGAGGCAGTGAAAAGATGGTCCCTGAGACTCTCTGGCTTCCCAGCCCAGCCTAGGTGACTATGTCCACTAAGGTGGACTGTGGATCTAAAATCCATGAGACGTTATTCTGGCTTTACTCTAGAGTCTTCGGGTCTTGCCTTCGAGTGTACTGAGTCTCTCTGTACAGAGAGGTGGACACCCACTGGCCATCATTCAGAAGGGACAGCCAAGACTGGATGCTAGAAGCCATCCTATGTGAAAAACGGCTGAAGAAGCTCAGATATTGACCAGGAAAAGATACTCAAGGATGGAAGAGGTTGTTTATCGGTGTCTGAGGGTTTAATCTCAGGAGGAGACATTGAAATCTATCTATGTGTACCCCTAAAGATAGATCTTGTGGAAGTGACATATTTCTGCTTACCACAAGATCACCAAGCTGCATTGGGATGAGCCTGCCCGTCCTCCATCTTGAACATTAGCCCCGCCCCCCACATAGGAGGACAAGCTCATCTTCTCACTCCTCACATGTTTCTTTAAAGCCATCCCCTGCATCCTGTCTGTGTTCCATCATCTTTCTCAAGGACCAGGTCGTCTCCTAGCGTCCTTACATACATTCTGCCCCCTCCAATATGTTTCCCGTCCTCCAAAAAAGTGCAGGCTTTCCAAATTTGCAAGTCTAATATTTTCAGCACCTGTAGCTTCCTGTTCCTTTCATACCTTCTCATTGCCCGGAAAAGTAAGACCCAAAGCATAGTAAGGCCCACAGGCTCCCGAACTCTCCACAGGCCATTCATCCGCACCTTCATGCTCTTACCTGTCCCCGAACCTGCCTGGAAACAGCGGTGCTTCTGACCGACAACAGCCTTTGCACGCACAGTCTTCTTTCTGGGAATGCCCACTTGCCGCCGCCCCCCCCACTTTCTTGGACTAGGACACCTCAGGCTCAGTTCTGCATCAAACCAGCTCCATGCGGAATCCAGGAACACGTGCACAAACCACCTGGTGATTGCTTGTTAAACGCCCTCGCCTGTAACGTCCTTTGCCTTTCTCTCAGGGCAGGCGCTGAGGGCGTGCACACCTGACACTCGGTGGATATAATGGGGAGGGGAGGAGAAAGGGGGAGGGGAGGGGAGGAGAGGAGACAATGAGAAAGGAGCAGAGTCAAGTCAGCGTACTGGCAGCCAAGAGTAGATGGTTCACTAAAGGTCCGTGATAACCTTTTTAAAATGTACACATTGTAAATTTAAATTTAAGTCTTATTCAATGCATCCATTCTTTTCTTATTACTCAGGGTCTCCGAAACTACATACTGTTGTTTCTGGCCTTCTGTATCATCTTGTCTGGGGCCCTGTGTACGGCTTTTTCCAAAATCTAACTGTTCACAGAAAGACCAGCAGATGGCAGCAGTGGCTAGGAGAACGCCTCTCCCGCACAGGCGAATACTGTGGACTGCTAAACTGTCTCTGCCGCTCTGGGAATGATGGGTAAATGACTGTTTACCCCACAAACATGGGAATGAAGAGAGACGGCGAAAAGCCCTTCCATGAGCTGTTAACGAAGGCAGAACTTTGCTGGGTGGCTCACAGACATGCTGTGTTATTGGATCATCCTGTCTGGGGGTGCTGGTTCCATCAGTGTCTACTTGGTGTTATAATCCGGAAAATAGGATGGCGTTTGTACAGAGGAAGTTATCACCCAAATGTATAGCTTGTTAATGAACACGAGAAGAAATAAATACTTTGTTGGTTGAAGGAAGGAACTCAGACTCACCTTATGGCATTCAAGTTCAAAGATATCGAGTCCCTTTGCTAGAGAAAGTAAATGTCACGGTTGCTAACTGAATGTTTAAAAAGGTCAATTCATCACTTTCAGCCAAAACTTACTTTTATTTTAACATCAGCTCCTAGCATTGCCTTCCCTTCTTAGCTCAAAATATTTTGATAATTATTCTCGATAAAATTCATCCCCAGAGAGCAAGTCACCACCCCTTACAATATGTGTGTGTGATATAATGTATACATTCACAAGCACACATGAGTGTACACATGGTTCCATATTTGGAGAACATTCTAGAGTTGATAAAAAAAAAACAAATATTTTGGTTTATCAGGTTCAATTTAAGGGAGTACACTTGCTGGGCTTCACAGCTTTATCTTTGCCCCTAAAATACCGTTACTTAAATTCATTTTAATCGGAATTTGACCCTATTTTAGCGCATTTCCCGGAGACAAAAGAACACAGCAAATGTATTGATTTGATTCTTTAAGAAAACAGCCCTTGTGCAAGCACACTTCATTTCCGTGGTGTCTGCAGCCTTAGCATAAAAGTCATGTCTGGCTCTGGCTCTCCCCATCCCCTCCTGATATGTGCTACGTGGCTGTGCAAGAGAAACAGCAGCAGCCCACACCTGCCTGGGCTTAAACTTCATGGATGCTCTGATGAGTGATGTGGTCCTGGACCTGAGCCCTGGGCGTGGCAAGCCTCCTGTGATGGGGAGTTAATGACAGTGTGTGTCTTGAAGTCCGTTGTCCAGGGCAGTTAAATCTGTTAAGTGTGTTCACATGTATCTTGTTGCCTGACAAGCACGCTACGATTGTTTGCAATTGTTGACACATGTTAATCAAGTGGAGACAACGTTTATAGACAGGAAAAACATGTGGAACTTATCAAAGCTACTGTCCTTACTACTCTCAGCCCAATTCGTCCCGTTCTACTCATTGAATTGCTAACACAGACAATATTTGATAATAACATCTTTTACCCATTTTAGTTTTTACTTGAAATGTCACTAAATTATGTTGCTATGACAACTTCTGAATAAATGTATGTGACAGAAAACCTATTTTTCTTTAGATATATTTTAGAATTATATGGTGAGTGGCCTTTAATTGTTCTTTGTGAGATTGCCGGTGCACGTGCAGAATTTAAACAGGAAGGAAGGAAATTGCAAGTAAAAAACTGATAAAAGAAAAAAAGTGGAGGGGGGTCCTTATCCCATCACCAAGCAATGTTAGTAAAAGTATTCTGGGGGGGGGATGCTTTTCTAAACCCGTTACCAAACAATTTCCTGTTCGTGGTTATGTTACAGGGGCAGATATGAGTCCTAGGGCACTCGCTGGCACCAGCCAGGTTCCCTGTCTTTTAGAGCAGGGACGTGTGGTTGTTACAAGGGAAACCTTGTTGATAAGCAACCCTTCGGAGTGGTCTGGTGACCCAAGGCAAAGGCACAACTAGCGCTAGCCAGAGCCACAGGGCCCTTTCTAAGTGTGAGCACAGCTCCAGCTTCACGAATTGTATGCAGCCTCGTGAGGAAGGGCTTCCAGTCCTTTCTGCCCCCTGGCTTCTGTGTGTTCCTCCCGTGTAGGTTGGTGTTGCTTGGTTCGCTATTGTCTCTGCTCTCCGCCAGTTAACCCACAGGAACAATCGTGTGGTGTCTCCACTGTTTGCTCAGCCTCAGAAGTGAGGTTTTGACAGCAGGAGTCTGCTGTTTGGGGCCTTCCTACTTTTGTTTCCTATTGCAACTTGATGAAGATGACAACCGTGTTCCTACCAAAGAGCTCCTGCCATCTTGTGTCCAGAGAGGAAACTGCGGGAAGAAGAGGAGCCACCCAAACATGGCTGGCCTTCAGACTAGGGACCTGCAGGACAGAAAATAAGGAGTGGGGTTAGCAATATAGCACTGATTGCCTTTAAGGTACTGATCAGTCTCTGTTCCTCTTTAAGTTCACTTAGTATGCTCTTAGCACATCCTTTAGTGCTAAAAGTCATTGAACCGGAAAAGTCTGTTGTGCAACTGTGTGTAGAGTATTATGCCCTCAAAGATAATTGCTACTGATCAAAGTGACCTATGTGTATATTTACATAAAACCATAAAACCTGATGCATCAGTCTCAGAGATTGTGTTTAGGGCAGAGAAGGAGATCACCGCGTCATACTGGGGCAGGGTGAAAAGCTGCTTGTAATATACAGTCATGTGAACATACTTAGCATTTGGCTGCTACTTGTGACCCTTTTTTAGCTTATGACATATTCTGTAATTTTTTTTTTGCTTTTGTAAATTTTGCCTTGCTATGTAAATGGCTTAAAAGAACTGGAGCTACGGGACACAGGACTTCTCTTGGGTATAGACAATGGAGTTGATAAGCAAATACGGACAAACCCTGGATGCCCGCGTGGAGTAAATCAGTTATATGCAAGGTTACTTTGTACTCTCACAGACGCCTAAAATGACTGAGGGTGGGTGACCAGTCGGCCCATCTGCCCTCTCACTACAGTCTCCAGCATGTCTCCTTTTAAGCGACTGCATAGGCACCCACAGCGTGTCTCTTTTTAAGCGACTGCATAGGCTCCTACAGATCTCTGTCCGAAGCACTATGCAGAGGAAAGTTCCTGTCCCACCTGGCCCCGCAGCCCTTCAGTCCCAAATGAACACACTGGGGCTTATGTTAATTATAAACTATTTGGCCCATAGATCAGGCTTCTTATTGGCTGGCTCTCTCTTAATTATTAACCCATTTCTGTTCATCTGTGTATCTTCACGTGGTCTTATTGGCTGGCTCTCTCTTAATTATTAACCCATTTCTGTTCATCTGTGTATCTCCACGTGGTCTTGGCTTACTGGTGATTCCTGAGTCTCTAACTTTCTTGGCAGCTACATGGGGTCTCCCTGGAGACCCATTCTCTTCATTCCTCTTCCCAGAATTCTCCTAGTCTGGTAGCCCCGCCTATACTTGCTGCCTGGCTACATCCTGCCGGGCCATTGGCCAAAACAGCTTTCTTTACTCATCAACCAATAAGAGAAACATATATTCACAGACTACAGAGACACATCCCCCATCTGCACTAGAAACATCTCTTTTTTTTAACAACACACCCCACTCAGAATAGGTGCACGTTTTCCTGTGTGCCTTCTGTGTTTTCCTGTGTGACTTCTGTGCTTTCCTGTGTGACTGACTTCTGTGTTTTCCTGTGTGACTGACTTCTGTGTTTTCCTGTGTGACTGACTTCTGTGTTTTCCTGTGTGACTGACTTCTGTGTTTTCCTGTGTGGCTTCTGTGTTTTCCTGTGTGACTTCTGTGTTTTCCTGTGTGACTTCTGTGTTTTCCTGTGTGACTTCTGTGTTTTCCTGTGTGACTTCTGTGTTTTCCTGTGTGGCTTCTGTGTTTTCCTGTGTGACTTCTGTGTTTTCCTGTGTGACTTCTGTGTTTTCCTGTGTGACTTCTGTGTTTTCCTGTGTGGATGACTTCTGTGTTTTCCTGTGTGACTTCTGTGTTTTCCTGTGTGACTTCTGTGTTTTCCTGTGTGGATGACTTCTGTGTTTTCCTGTGTGACTTCTGTGTTTTCCTGTGTGACTTCTGTGTTTTCCTGTGTGGATGACTTCTGTGTTTTCCTGTGTGACTTCTGTGTTTCCCTGTGTGACTGACTTCTTTGTTTCCCTGTGTGGATGACTTCTGTGTTTTCCTGTGTGACTTCTGTATTTTCCTGTGTGACTTCTGTATTCCTGTGTGACTTCTGTGTTTCCCTGTGTGACTGACTTCTGTGTTTTCCTGTGTGACTTCTGTGTTTCCCTGTGTGACTGACTTCTTTGTTTTCCTGTGTGACTTCTGTGTTTTCCTGTGTGGCTTCTGTGTTTTCCTGTGTGACTTCTGTGTTTTCCTGTGTGACTTCTGTGTTTTCCTGTGTGACTTCTGTGTTTTCCTGTGTGGCTTCTGTGTTTTCCTGTGTGACTTCTGTGTTTTCCTGTGTGACTTCTGTGTTTTCCTGTGTGACTTCTGTGTTTCCCTGTGTGACTGACTTCTGTGTTTTCCTGTGTGACTTCTGTGTTTCCCTGTGTGACTGACTTCTTTGTTTCCCTGTGTGACTGACTTCTGTGTTTTCCTGTGTGACTTCTGTGTTCCTGTGGACCTCCTTGCTCCATGTGGAGTTCACATTCCACCCAGCCCCTGCCTACCATGCTTTCAAGTATCTCAAATGTGCAAACACGTTTGAGATCCACCTTTTCCATCAGCGCCGTGTTGCAGATAAGAAAACTGCCCCATCTCCAGCATCACAGGTTTCCGGTCTTCAAACCCTTCCCAGCCTTCCCTGGGAACATGGGCATCCTGATTTCACTAGACATTTCCCCCCACTGATGTCATTAAGGAGACCAAGTCATTAGGAGATCAAGAAAGTTTACAATGTAAGGTGTGATAGTCTGCTCACAATAGCTTGCACCCGATTAATACACTGTCTGAGTTCTATTAGAATGGCAAACGTTTAATCCTCTTTTGTCATCACAGAGCAAAAGTGGTCCAGCAAGATGACTGAAAAGGGCAAATAGAGGTGCTTGCTGCCAAGCCCGCCAGACCACATGGTAGAAGGAGAGGACCAACTCCCACAGAAGAATATATTCAACCATGAGAAGTGGTCAGCTGAGAAATGGACATAAGTTCATGCCCATAAATAAGAGAAAAGATAAGTAAATTATGATGTGCCTATGAACCATGATGGGATACTTATTAAAAACAAGGAATAAGATACCAACACATGGGATCAAGTATTTGATCTTGAAAGTCATTAGGCAGAGAGAGGGGGAAAAGCCCAATGCTTGTCAGGCTGGACATCATTCCCTTGTGTAAACTACAAGGGGTCACTTGGGAGCTACAAAGTTGGCTCAGCTCTAGCTGCTCCTGCAGAGGTCCTGAGTTCAATTCCCAGCACCCACAACTGTCTATAACTGTAGTGTCAGACAACTGAGTGCCCTCTACTTGTG